CGCTGATGACGTGGCGAATGACGAATAAAAAATGACATATATTATTTTGAGTAAAAAAAAACTATGTTAAATCTATTTAATAAACAAAATAAAAATAACATTCTAAAAAAGAAAAGAAAAGCTTAATTTACACCCAACCAAGAAAGAAAATATTTAAAAAAATTGAGAATTGGTGTTCTGGAAATCAGTGGTCTTAGTGTTCTTCACTTTTTTCATGTGTGTTCTTGTTCCAAGCACGATTTTAATCCAAATTTGTAAGAGAAACTCCTCCAAATTTGTTATAACTGCAGCTAAAGATTCCCCATGACGACCCGAAGACAACCCCAATATTAATTTTCCAAACTTTTATCAAATCAAGTAACTCATTTTAAACCTTCAAGCTTTTTAAAGACCCCATTAATGGTGTTTAGGGTACGAGCCCTAACTATTAGCATCTGGTCATAATACTTGTTGACTTTCTCCATGGTAATCTCCACATTATAACTTCTACTAGACCTCACAAATGACATTTGCATAGTACTGAACAAATAGGCAACTTCATTATCAGTCAAATCTCCTTTGATAACACCATTTTGCTTTAGCAACCTCACGTCCTCAGCAGTATCTATAATCCCACTCATTAGATTGATATATCTGGTAAATTCGAGCTTGGATTTGGACATGGCAGCTTCATAGACCACCAAATTTCTAAGTATGACTTCTGAACCAGCATTTATAGCGATCACAGGAAGGTAAAAAGTTGAAGCAGCTTGATCTTCTTCGTCTTCTTCTTCTTCATTTTAGTCTCAGTTCTCTGCTTCTACTTCTTCATTTCAGTCGGAGAAGATGACGGAAAGTGGAGGAGGCAATGGTGGAGGACATAAAGAAGAAGAAGAAGGAAATAAAAAAAACAAAAAAAAATTGTTTTTTGGGCTTTTCAGGCGCCCATATTGGGTGAAACTCACTTTACGTGCCAACTCAACAAGAAATGTTTAATTGGAACAAAGTTCATGTAACGTACGTGCTCAATAGGAACTCTCTTAAGTTCAGGTGTCTAAATAAAAGATCGTGCCAACTTTAAGTGTCTCTGTATGTATTCAGCCTAATTCATATTGAGAAATTCTATTGACAACCATTAAAAAGCTTATAAGCTTTGAATTTGAAAATTGAATTTTTTGAAATTATTATTTATTTGGATTAATTGTTGTTGCAAATGATTGAAATATCCTTTGGAGTATATCTCAATTTTGAGAGAATTTGATGAAGATTCGAGGTGGTTTTGGTTGGCATTTCAGATTGAAACCGGAAGAAGAAGACATAAACAAAGTGTATATATTTTGTATGTCAGGTGTAGAAACGGTAAAATATTTGCAACTAACACAATTGTATATAAATTATATGTAAATTATAGTTTTTGACTGGATTCTATTCAAAAAAATTGTATTTAAGTTATAGATGTATTGTAAATTTTGATTGAATTTGTATATATTTTGTAAAAATAATAATAATTGTTTTCTGTAAATACAAAAACTTAGATAAATTGAATAAATAAGTTTAAAATCTCGTATATATACGAAAAAATTTCCATATTAAATCATCTTCTAGCAAATATCATCAAGCCCAGCGCTGGGCCCAAAATCTCCTTTGTTTTGCCGAAGTAAATAGTAGGGGATTTTGCATCTATACCCGTTTTTTGTGCCACATTTTAACTTGTGTCCGCTTTGCAAAAAAAATTACAAGCGTACCCGCTTTTTCACATAACTTCAGCACACGGGGCTGAAGTAGCAAAGGCAATCACGCAAAACTTCAGCATTCTAGTAGCTGGGCCTGAAGTTCAGATATAGAGCTGAAGTTTTTGTGTTGTAACTGGGAAACTTCAGCTCTTGAGCTGAAGTTTTTGTGTTGTAACTGGAAACTTCAGCTCTAGAGCTGAAGTTTCTGTGTTGTAATTGGCTACTTTTTAATTCCCTCTCTGTAATGCACATAACACATGATACTCATCTTCACTGTTATGTTAGCTTTAAGCTTTATTAGTCTGCAACAGAACTAGACACTTAAGATATGGATTGCATCGCTAACAAAAGATTAACCAGAACTATAGCCAGTTATAGCAACTGAATCAGGATGGTTATCTACTTTAGCAGTAAGTTCTTGCATAGCTAGCAAAACCAAAACACATGGACTGTTAACAACAGAAGCATATAGACAGCAGCAGAAATGATCGAAAGCTCAAGAAATAAAGTGTGGTCACAACTTCATTTAAAGCTAGTGGAATATAGTTAGCAGGTATTTAAATAACAAAATATACGGATAGCAGCAGAAATCATCAAAATTACAAGAAATATAGTGTGGTCTCCGCTTCATACAAAGCTAGTGGAGTAAGTAACATGAGCATACTGAAGTTTTCGACGCAAGACCAATAAAAAAAATAGGCTCTGCATTTTGTCTTTTGTTGAGAAGAAGAAACGAAGGAGGTGAAGAGGGAGGAGAAAGGGTGCTGACGTTATTTAAGAAGTGGGTACAAGTTGAAAATTTTTTAAAAAATGGATAATATAGGTTAAATGGAGGCGACCAAATAGGGCGTCCCGTGCAATTTTTACTAAATAGTGTGTCTTCTACTAAAATCGCAGCATGATACACACGAAGTTATAGAATGAATAAATAAATAAATAAATAAATAAATAAATAACGTATCATATTTATTTATTTCGTGCAAAATGCAAAAAGTTTCATCTATCTTCTACTAGTTATGAGGCACAACTTTTGTTTTGATACTTTGGTTTTAACATTTATTTTGATATATTTATTAACATTTAGTTCCATTATTTTATGATTTAAAAGAAATTAAATGTTTGAAGTTTATCTTTCACTAGAATTTTATCTGAGCAAAAGAAAAATTGTTGATCTTTTCCTTATTACTGAACATCTATCTAGAGATGTGCATACCATGATTTTAGACATTCCTAATATTTTCATGATTAGGGATTATTGTCCATGTCAAGATGATAGCTGATACTCTAAAGATGCACCCTAACAAACATGTAATTTGTAAAAGTTTTTGTATTGGCAATAATTTAGGACATCGAAAATAAATGGCTGTACTTGCAAAAATATCGGTCATCCCTACATTTCATGATAAAATTTCACTTCTGTTGTATACCCTTAAACGTAGATTATCACTAAAACAATTCCATTAACAACCTCGTTTAATGACCACGTTTTTCTCTCTAAAAATTACTTTCTTTTGAGTTAGTCAAGCATGAACACGGATTAAGACTCTCCCGCTCTTTTGACATCCATATTATTAGCCCAAGAAAAAAAAAATCAAGAAATGTAGCTTAAGGAAGGATGGCCTTTTGGAACAAAAATGTCCCCTCTTCTTCTTCTTCTTCTTCTTCTTCTAACTATTTTCCAATCATAGGCCTTCTTTCCCTCCTCCTCTTACATCCTACCACCACCACCTTCTCCTCCTCTTTTGCTAACGCCATTCGCGTTGTTGCCATCCAAAAACCTACCTCCGATGACATTCCTTCCTTCCGAGAAGCACCTGCCTTTCACAATGGCAATGCATGCAGCTCACGTGACATAGACAAAATCCAAATAGTAATGCCTGTTGATGCCAATTATATTAGGGGCACAATGGCTGCAGTATTGTCTATTTTGCAACATTCAACATGCCCAGAAAACACTTCCTTTCATTTCCTTTCCATTCATCTTGAGCCTGAGATTATTTCCCTTATCAACTCCACTTTCCCTTACCTAAGCTACAAAATCTACCACTTTCATCCTAATCGTGTTAGGGGAAAGATATCCAAGTCAATTAGACAAGCCCTGGATCAACCTTTAAATTATGCAAGAATTTACCTCTCAGATATTCTCCCTAAGGACGTGCCTCGCGTAATTTACTTAGACTCAGATATCATTGTTGTGGATGATATTGCCAAGTTATGGGGAGTGGATTTAGGAGATAAAGTCTTGGCAGCCCCAGAATATTGCCATGCAAACTTTATAAACTATTTTACAGACACATTTTGGTCGGACGTGAATTTGGCGAAAACATTTGAGGGAAGACGGCCATGTTACTTCAACACAGGTGTAATGGTGATGGATCTTGATGAATGGAGGAAAGGAGGGTACACACAAAAGGTTGAAGAATGGATGTTAATACAAAAGCAAAGAAGAATTTACCATTTGGGGTCTTTGCCTCCAATTTTGCTTGTGTTTGCAGGAAACATTAAGGCAGTTGATCATAGATGGAACCAACATGGATTAGGTGGTGACAACTTTGAAGGAAAATGTAGGGGACTTCACCCTGGACCCATCAGCCTACTGCATTGGAGTGGCAAGGGTAAGCCATGGTTGAGACTTGATGCTCGAAAGCCCTGTACCATCGATTACTTGTGGGCACCGTACGATCTGTATCGTTCAACCAGAGTTGCATTAGAAGAGTGAGAGAGAGAGAACTGAATAGAACTCAAGATAGATTGATAGAAAGAGAACTTGCTGCATTTGAAAATGAAATGGTGCAAACATAGATGCAATATAATTGCACTGTAAGACATTGTCAGGGAAGAATGATTAAGATTACAGCTAATAGTCCTAAGGCTTGAGATGTAGAATCCTTAGGCCTTGTAATCTAAAGAATGAAGCTAAAAGAGTCTACAGGTATATTAGACATCGATAGCTAAGAAAGGAATTCACGAAAGTGAATGAACTTAATTGTTCTCCCCTTATTAGGCTTTTTACATTCGTTTTTCTTGATTGTAAAGGTTAAGTGTTAATTTTTGAATGTTTCCTTCATGAATCCATAACGCTTACAACAGAATATATTTAGGCTTAAAAAGATTTATCTTACAACACAGAGAACCCTTTCAGTCAAGGGATCCAATTCAATGAACTCCAGTATCCCGACAAATAAAAAGCAATTCACTGGATAAATGTGCCTTACAGCCACATCCAATGTAGGATAATTTGGTTCGGAAGATTATAATCCTGGGATTATTATTATGCCACATCCAATGTAGGATAAAGAATACCAAGAATTTGGTATAAAATATAAACCAGTATGAGCTAATACACATAAAGAATACCAAGAATTTGGTATAAAATATAAACCAGTATGAGCTAATACACATAAAGAATACCAAGAATTTGGTATAAAATATAAACCAGTATGAGCTAATACCCATAACCAAACACTGGATAAATATGTGTTACAGCAGGAGGTACGAGACCCAGTAACCAAACGCTTCTTAGAGCTAGAAATCTCAGCATCTTTCCAGTTTTATAAAATTCAAATGAAGCAAGGGGTAAACTGCTGATCAAGTTTCTCGCAAAAGCATGTCTGTAACAGCAGAAGGCACGAGACTGAGTCTCTCTAGGAAGAGTATCTTTCACCTAGTAGAAACACCAAGACAACACAAGCAAGTACAAGTATGCAGTTAGTTCTCATAATATACAGCTAACTAATTATGTGTGACCTGAGTATCCAAGAAGTAGTTGTACACGTCTTAAATAATCTTGTGCCACAAATACCAAATGCCAAGAAACATGAGTCATCCACTTCCCACCTGTGCAATCTAACTGCAAGAGGAACTGGTCACCAAATTGTCCCACTATACATATCTTTTGCATACAGCCTCTTTGTGCTCGCCTCTCAAACTCAGCAGCCATCCAACAAGATAACCGTCTGTCATTGCTCCTAACAGATATGCCAACAATATATTTTGCAACTCTATGCTTTGGGTGTGGAAGCAACAGGACATTTTCCTAGTGTGTTCCACAAAATATAATCCCCAGAAGTCACCTGTGACAATCATACCAAAGTCAGACCACTAAAGATTTTAATAACTCAAAAGACAGGGTTGATTGCAGATGTCAAACAGCTGCTGTAATAAGCAGACCCAAATAAAGCTAGAGAACTATCAAGAATATGTTATGTAACTGATAACAAAAATACCTGAGTAGAAAATTCCACAGGTGCTTTAACAGCAGGGAAAATGCTTACCTGCAATGGCTCATCGCATTAAGAATAGCAATAACTCAATATCAATATAAGCAGGAAACATAAAGCGCCTGAGAATCTCTGTGACTGAGAAACTGCTCACAGCACAACCTAGAGCTGACAGTTAGCAGTTCAAGCATATGATGCAGTGAGTCAGTGACCGATGGTAATTTGCTTTCATCTAGATGTTCAAGGCGGAGAATAGTCCGTTTGTACGCTTAAGAAAGAAATGTGAAGTGTAGAAGTAGGTTGAATCTACTATTGCCTAGGAAAAGTAGGATGGACCAATAAGCACTTAGATTAATTTTCACAAATAAAAGGAAATCTACCTGACATAATTAACATGTGAAAAACAAATAATTAGCAACATCAACTAATGCAATAAATGGAAAAGAGAAGAGCTAAAAATACCCTCCCATAAGAGCGGATTTTCACTTGGGATAAGCCCGTATTTTTTTTACCCTAGTTATGAATGAGCTAACCAATAGTGTGCAAGATAAGACTTAATGGTGGATGTTATTTGCACAAGATATCGTGTTAATTAAAAACAATACCAAGTAAATCAACTAAGAGTTAGTGTGAGGAAAAGGAAGATAGGAAGAAAGAAATGAGTGAAAACACAACTTGATTATTTCCTAAAGCTACCGAATCTTAAATAGTGAATATAAGTGCTAAGATAGGAAGGAAATATTCTACCTAATTACACAATCAATCAAATCATATCCAATTAATCATAATTGATACTCCCTCTGTCTCAATTTATGTGACTCTTTCCTTTTTAGATTTAATAACAATTTAAATTTAAATTTCTCATTTTACCCTAAATGAGATGATGATTTATAGTCATATGTTCTTTCATTCTTAAACTCCCGCCCAGTCAAACAACATCACATAAATTGTGGGACGAAGCGAGCATAAAGTATTATTTACAATATTCTTAACACTCCCCCTCGAGTTGGTGCATACAAGTGGTATGTACCAAGCTTATTACAAATGTAACTGATACGAGAACAAGTGAGGAACTTGGTGAAAATATTTACAAGTTGATCATTTGACTTCACAAATTCTGTAACAATGTCTCCTAAAGTATCTTTTCTGTGATGAAGTGATAGTCGAACTTGTGTTTAGTTCTCTATGAAACCCTGGATTTGATGCAAAATAGCAGCTTGGTTATAACTCATACGTTCCATCTAAGTTTTATCTGATGGATTTCTCGAAACTTTAATTTTCTGAGCAATTGTTTGATCCAAACTAGTTCGCAAGTTGACACAACCATTGGACGGTTTTCTTTTGCACAAAATCGAGCAACCACATTTCGTTTCTTACTCTTTCAAGATACCAAATTACCACCTACTAGAATACAATATTCATATGTAGACCGCCTATCAAAAGGTGATCCTGCCCAATCATTGTTTATATATCCAACTACCTGTTCATAGCCTTGATCCTCAAAAAGCAATTTTTTGCATGTGGCTGATTTTATATATCGAAGAATAAACATAACTGCATCACAATCACTATCACACGAAGAGTCCGTAAACCGACTTACAACGCTCACAAGAAAGGTTGTCAGGTCGAGTCACTATGAGGTAGTTCAACTTACCAACTCTAGTATCACTAAGGGGCCCACCTGTCGTGGCAAAAGCTTAACATTCGGGTCCATATGAGTGTTAATTGGTCAACAACATGTTATTCCTAACTCTTCAAGATGTATAAAGCATACTTGCGTTGTGAATTGACAATTCCTGATTTGGACTGAGCGACCTCAATATCTATGAAGTACTTCAATCTGCCTAAATCCTTAGTATGCAAGTGATAAAGGAGAAGTTGCTTCAATTTAGTTATACCATCCTGATCATTGCCCGTGATGAATATATCATCAGCATAAACTACCAAATAACTACACAAATTTGGAGCAGTATGTCTATAAAATGCAGAACGATCAGCGAGGATGTGAGTCATACCAAACTCCTACATAACTGTGTTGAACTTACCAAACCATTCTCGAGGAGAATGTTTCAGACCACATACAAATCAATGCATCCGGCATACAAAACCGCTAGACTCCTCTGAGCAACAAAATGAGGTGGTTGCTCCATATATACTTCATCCTCAATATTGTAGTGGAGAAAAGCATTCTTAACGTTCAATTGATAAAGAGGTCAATGGCAAACATCAATCATGGATAGAAAAAAAGGACGGACATATGCTATTTTAGCCATGACGGAAAAAGTCACAGTAATCTAGTTCAAATATCTGAGTACAACGTTTGACAATAGGGCGGGCATTAAGTTGATCTATTTAACTATTCGGACCAACTTTGACTGCATAATCCACCGATAGCCAATAGGAGATTTACCTAGAGGTAGAAGAACAAACTACCAAGTACCATTAGCATGTAACGCAGATATCTCTTTGACCATAGTCTGTTGCCATCTAGGATGAGAGAGCGTTTATCGACTTAGGGATAGAAACGGAGGACAAACAAGACATAAAGGCATCACAGTGTGATGCTAGACGATGATAACTCAAACAACATAATTAGAATTAGAATTTAGTGTGGATTGAATAAATTTTCAAAGAGAAGTTAGAGGACTAGGAGGAGACAAGTCCTCAATAGGTGAAGGATCCAGTATAAGACGTGAACTTAAATTTGGAGCAGTATATCTATAAAATCCAGAACGATCAGCGAGACCGCGAGTCATACCAAACTCCTACATAATTGTGTTGAACTTACCAAACCATTCTCGAGGATAATGTTTCAGACCACATACAAATCAATGCATCCGGCATACAAGACCGCTAGACTCCTCTGAGCAACAAAATGAGGTGGTTGCTCCATATATACTTCATCCTCAATATTGTAGTGGAGAAAAGCATTCTTAACGTCCAATTGATAGAGGTCAATGGCAAACATCAATCATGGATAGAAAAAAAGGACCGACATATGCTATTTTAGCCACGACGAAAAAAGTCACCGTAATCAAGTCCAAATATTTGAGTATAACGTTTGGCAATAGGGCGGGCATTAAGTTGATCTATTTAAATGCCCGGACCAACTTTGACTGCATAATCCACCGATAGCCAATAGGAGATTTACCTAGAGGTAGAAGAACAAACTACAAGTACCATTAGCATGTAAAGCAGATATCTCTTTGACCATAGTCTGTTGCCATCTAGGATGAGAGAGCGTTTATCGACTTAAGGATAGAAATGGAGGACAAACAAGACATCAAGGCATCATAGTGTGATGCTAGATAATAATAACTCAAACCAACATAATTAGAATTAGGATTAAGTGTGGATTGAATAACTTTTCGAAGAGAAGTTGGAGGACTAGGAGGAGACAAGTCCTCAGTAGGTGAAGGATCCAGTATAAGACGTGAATTATCTGGACCTAATGCTAGACGCTGACGGTGATGATACATCAAGAGTGGTGGAGTTGCAAAAGGTGTTGTAGGTGGTGGAGCTGTGGGAGAAGATGAAGGAGAGATGGCGACAGAATCCCCAGAAAGATGGAACTAGTAACACCTCAAAAATGTCTAGGTTGCCTAGACCGGTGAAGTATAGTTGATTTTCAAAGAAATATTGGCAAGCATAAGGTGAAGCTAGAAGTCAGGTGAATAGCACCGATATCCTTTATGCACCCTCGCGTAACCTAGAAACACACATCGAGCACGAGGGGCTAACTTGTTTTTCTAGAATAAGGTTATGGACAAAACATATACTCCTACACGAGGTGGAAGAAAGATGAGTGAGGAACCAAAATAGAGTGTGAACTCGATTTTGGATAGATGAGGAAAGCATACGAATAATGAGATATCAGGGTGTGAGAATTGCATTTCCCAAAAAATGAAATGGAACATGAAATTGTATGAGCATTGTACAGTAGTCTCAATGTACTATGCCGCATGAGAGATGCCATTCTTCTTTCATTCCCCCCCCCCCCCAACCAGATAGTCCTTATCTTTTGTATCTGAGAGGCTTCTGCCTCTGTCACAATCTCCTTTCCTTTCCTAGCTACTTCTCGTGGTCTTTTTGCTTTTTTTTTTTATGTCGATCACCTTCTTTTATCATATATGGTTTACCTTTTGAGGTGAAAAAATACCTGCAAGGTCATCAAAAGCAGTGATACTGTTCAGATCTGGAAAATTATTAAGAATATTACTAGTTTGTGTTGACATTAGATCTGAACCATTAGGTACAACCAGTGGTAGCAGTGGTGTTTCATCAGCCAGTGGTTGTTGGTTTTTTAAGGTAGCTTGGTTAAAAAACTGTGGAATTCCCAAGCTGCTTTTGATGGATCTGCCCATTCAAATGGCAGAAAAACTAGCAAATAAAGAAATTCCAAAGATCCACCAATAGACGCATCATATTAGAAAATTCACAAATCACAGTAAAATTGTACGTTGTGTCTTGCATTTTGCTCAACTCCATGAAACCTCCGCTCTATTTTTCTTCCAATCTACCCATACTATTTTTCATCTTTTCTTCCAATATATCAATTCTTCCAACTTGAGCAAATTGATGTACCAGTCCATCCAATTGAATTGCCAAATGCCATAATTCCCAGTTGTGCATTAGTTGTCTCATAATTTCCAGTTGTACATTTGGTAGGGCGTGCTTGACTTGGTCTTTTATTTTGCCTAGTTCTTTTTTTGGACCATTAGTTTGTCACATTAGCTCAAAATAATTTTACTAATCATTCTTGAAGAAGCTGTAACAAATATTTAGGAGAGTAGGTATATATCAAAGTATTTTAACAAAGATGTTATTGTTGGAGTGAAGAAAATACTCCTCACATTTGAGTCAGTTACACATGATATTGAATATTTTTCCAACATTAAGTGGCATATGAGTGCAGATGGCATAATGGAGAAATACTCTAGTTAAACCAATAAATTATTTATATTTGGTATCAATCTAGACTTGTGAATGTCACTCATGGACTATTACTTTAGCCAATATATCTTCCAATCGCGTTCCATTAGGATTCAACGCCC